CACTAAATTTATCGGCCTTTTCTAGAAAATTCTTGAAACAAACTTATAACCATGGTTTTTGAACTCCATATCCAGTTGTTTGCTTTCCTCCATTTCTTTCATTTGTGACCTGTTTCTTTGTCTCTGCATTTTGGCTGCTTCCCTGAGTTGATAGAGTGGCTTTGTGTGCTAGGTGTGCTATAGGGCCCAGTGGCTCAGCCTCCCCCAGTTACCTGAGGTGGATATTCTTGGTGCACCCCTTTGTGGGCTGTGTGCAATCTTGTTGTAGTTAAGCCTTGATTGTTGTTGGTATCACTGGGAGGAATTGACCTCTAGGCGGATTGGCTGTGAGGATCTGCTGTGTTTACGATGGGAGAACTTCTGTGCTAGAGACACCCTTATGAGGCAAGACTTGCTTCAGTGGTGCTTTGGTGCTCACTGAGTCTGTCCCCCTGAGTTGTAATCTGGATGGTCCCAATCTGACCAATGGATACACTGGTTCTTGGATCTCCAAGGAGGTGCTAATTTAGCCTTTGCTTGAGGCCACCCAGCAGGAGTTACAGAGATATCTGCAGATTCCTCTTCTTTGTTTTGAGTTTTAAGGTGCCCAGATGAGGCCCATCTGTGAAGCAATGGATGTTCTGGGTCTCTCTGACTCAGCTGCAGTTTGATAAGTAATTTTAGATTTCAAAGGACCAGGCATTCATATGCAAAAACCTCTGTGCACAGCTTGCGTGGGGTGGGGTCTCTGGAAATCAACAGGGCGAAGTAAATACCAATGGCTGACCATCAGCTCTGCCCTAAGAGGCCTCTGGGTCTCAGTGTCCCTCAGTAATCACTGCTAGCATCTCTAAGAGAACACTGCCCTCGAGTTCCACCCACTACCAGACAGTCCAATTTCTCCCTGTATGAGTCTGAGTCCCAGAGTCTTGCCTGGAACTGGAGTTCAGAGCAATCAGGAGCTTGTGTCTCCCTCTGGATTGAAAAAGACAGCCATGTTCTCAGTTGCCAGCCCTTCCTGTGCGTGTGCCTCCGTACCTCTGCACTTTACTTCTGCAGCTTCTCCGAGTCTCAGTGTGCTTTTCTCTTTCCTTCTAGTTGTAGAATTTCCACTCAGCCAGCCTTCCTGTGGTTCTATCAATAGATGATGTCCATTTTGTCTTTTATTTGTAGTTTTGAAATGGTTGTGCGAAGCAGCAATTTCAGGTGTTTATCTATGCTAGCATCTTGGTTTCTCTTTTAAGTCCTTACCTAACTAGACTCCTTGGCATTGGAGCCAGCTGACCTTCTTCTAAACAGTATATTCTTCCCCACTAGATTGTTAGTTCCTGAAGGTAGAGACCATATATGATTCAACTTTGCAGCATCCTCCTCCTGCCACTCAGCATAGTGCCTGACAGTCAGACTGAAGTTCCTGAGAAAATGTTTGTGACTGAACTGTACTTCCATTGTGTTCCCATGACATTTAGAACAATTGTTATCTCTTACCATAATTATTTTTTAAAATATATTTTATTGATTTTTTTATAGAGAGGAAGGAAAAGGGATAGGGAATTAGAAACATCAATGGGAGAGAAATATCGATCAGCTGCCTCCTGCACACCTCCTACTGGTGATGTGCCCACAACCAAGTTACATGCCCTTGACCAGAATCGAACCTAGGACCCTTCAGTCCGCAGGCCAACGTTCCATCCACTGAACCAAACTGGTTAGGGATCTTACCATAATTATTAGTGAAAATGCCTGTCATGCCACCGGGGAGGTGAGCTCCAGGAAGACAGTCTGAGTCTGATCATCCTACAGGCCCGGCATTTGGAATACAATATATGCTTAATAACTAATTATTGGATGGATGTTCAGAGCAGGAACATTTAAAATGGAATTGCTTTTTTCATGACTCTTCAACCAAATACCAGCCAAACCTTTCTAAGGGAAGTTTGGTCTTTGTCAGGAAGGTGTTACCCAATCTACTTAAGTACAGAAAAAAAAATACATGGCTGATAATGGCACAAAAGTGACTAAAGAGGTAATGTGAACATCACTGGATGAAAAATTTAAAGCTAACTTATTTCTCATAAATATTACAAAATAGGCACCAGCTTCCCTCAGCCAGCCACAGTAATATACAAATGGATAGCATTCATCCTGTGCTAAAGCATTGCCACTCAGAAAAAGTAAGACAGGTAACTGAGACATTGCAAAATCCAGCAACGGGAATCAGGAGGGCTCTAAGAATCAGCCTAAAGGAGACTGAGGGCCCAGCACCAAAAGAAGGAGAGGCGGGGCATGCGTGGAGAGAGAAGAGGGGAGGGGTGACGTAAGATTAAGGAAAAGAAAGTCTGGCAATTAGGAGAGAAAGGAAGTAGTTTGACATTGGAAAGTGCCTGGCAAGGAAGATGAGAACCTGGCGGGGAAAGGACAGGTGACGCATCAATTACCACAGATCTCCCCCGCTGGTGTCTGGGCTTTGGAAGCAAGTTAATGAGGTTTGGATTTAATAAATATTAAAATTCTGAGAACACTTAAGAACTGCCAAGGGAGGCTGTGCAGCAATCATCACATGAGTAGATTTCTAAGGCCAGACTAGGCGCCCATCTATTATGGATGGTTTGAGACCAACACATCCATCCTTCTGCCACAGAGGAAATGTAATGGCCCTTGGGCCTTCCTCCCAAACTTCAGGAAGGCTGGGGTAGGTGGGAAGTGAGGTTAAATGGTGCTAACTCTCATTCTGCTATTTCATCACAGACTCCCTGCTGTTCACTCAGGTGTAATTGACAAATATTGTCTCTAAACAAAGGAAGAGATTTTATTATCTTTTTATGTACATGGCTGTCCAACCTTTATCCACCTTTATATATAGTGAATGCTTTACATTTACATACCTCTACACACAGTAAAATTCTATTTAATAAGCTGGTTTAAAATCTGCAATAACTTGAACAGTGGCAACTCTCCACTTCGTCTTGGGGAATGTGTCTGTACATGCCTCAGACCACTAGACCTCTGGAAAGTTCATCAGTGTAACAGTCTCCTTGAATTTTATGGTGTTTATTTCCCACCTTTAGCATGGCGTGTGTCTTACAAAGTCACCTAGGGGATTTGCTAAGTAACTTCTTGTTTGTAACTTCTCTTTAGGTACAGTCATCAAGATAAGAGTGAACCAACTATCTTTGGAAGCTTCTTAGGTGATGTGGAAAGGTGATATGATCAAATTCTCTACAGTCTGGATTGCAACAGCGTTAGAGAGTGTCACAGACTTGAGGCAAGATGTGAAGGTGTACCTGCAAGTAAAAGTGCACTGCTCTGGTACTCTTTGCACATGTGCACACACATGAACCCCCCCCCACACACACACACATACATGCACACAGAGAAGCGATAGCGAGTGGGCTTATTGGCTTTGGGAAGAGTAGCAGAGGTGAGGTGTCCTCTCAGGGTAAATGGGACATTATGATGATGTGACGTTCATCACTTCATTAAGGTTGTGTTTGCCAGATTTCGCCACTGTACGTTACTGGTTTCCCCTTTTCCCGCTCTAATTTTTCATAGAGAGTTAATTAGTACAGCCCAGTGGTCAGCACACTGCGGCTTGCGAGCCTTGGTTTGCTACTCTGTTGAGTAATTGAGTTTGCCAACCACTGGGATAGCCTACTCTCAGAGGGGAGAGGGCAGGATTTAAGCTACATGCCCTAAATGTGGGATGTAATTCTACATACATTATCAGGAATTCTTCTGAAAGAAAGATGCACTACTGTTTTAACTATATTTTTAACACACAAAGTTTCTGTGAAGGGCTGATCTTCACTCATTTTTTATTTTATAGTTTTCCGGAGGATATGCGAGTGACCTTTAAATCATGTTTCAATTAAAAAATTAATTTGATAATTGCTTAGAATTTCATTTACCAGTACATTAATGGGGGAAGAACTGACATCTAGGTATATGGTACTTGGCTCCTTTTAGTCAACTCTCCCTTTATATCGCTAGGAATTATTATTATTATTATTATTATTATTATTATTATTATTATTTACAGAGAGGAAGAGAGTGTTAGAAACATTGATGAGAGAGAATCACCTATCAGCCACCTCCTGCACACCCCCTACTGGGGATGTGCCCGCAACCAAGGTACATGCCCTTGACCGGAATTGAACCCGGGACCCTTCAGTCCGCAGACCAACGTTCCATCCACTAAGCTAAACCGGTTTCGGCTCACCAGGAATTCTTATGTGCTGATAACTAAATTCTGGAAGCACAAAGGAGATATGCAAGGATCTGTTTTGTAGTCAGACACCGCAGTCCTGAGGCTAAGAAGACTGAAGTAATGTCTGGGCCGCCCCAGGGAAGACACCTGTCAGAGATAAGCTTGAGGTTGCTACAGAATGTTGCTACATCAAAGTAAAAAAAATATAGCAAACAAGATTACAAAATCCAGAATGAGGTTTGGGGGAAAGGCTGACAAAAACCATGCATTCCTTGAGGTCAAGGCCCAGGTTTGATTCCTCTTTGTGCCTCCACTAGTAGCACACATTGGTACATTTGAGCAGTTGTTGAATATATGAATTAATCAGTGACTAAATATTCCCAAAGTTTTGGCCTGAAACACTTGACCACACCAAGATGCATTCTGATAATCATTATGATTCACCTGCATCCATGGGTGATGCATTATACATGCTGATGTTATTTGAATGACTTGCCACTAGGTTTTTATTAGTGTCAATAATATTTCACATTCAAGTTGAGATTATGACAGAATCACTAAAAGTGACAAATATAACAACATAGAATACATGCTGACTATCAGTCAATCACAATGAAATATAACTCCATAGAATGTTATGTTTAGAAAACAGAATATAAAACAATATCCAGGCCATGATTATAGTGGTAAAATAAAGTTTGCACCTGTAGCAAGTATATATTGCTTATGCTCTAGGCATTTCTTCTTCTTCTTCTTCTTCTTCTTTTTTTTTTTTTTTTTTTTTTTACTAAGAGACATGTATTTTGTTTTTAAGGAAACCTCTCCTCACCAGTGTTCAGCCATGTGTGTGGGTCCTGATAATCCAAGTCAATCTGAACTACAGCTCCATGGCCCTGGTGGTTGGTTCAGGGATGGGTAAGTGTTTTGCTAGGGCTTGATGAGGTGTGAGGATGGGGATCTAGAACTTCTGCAGCTGTTTTGCTACCACACTGATAAGGCCGCCATGTGGAGCCTTGAAGATAAAGCAGCACAGTGAGGAAGAACATAATACAATAGATTTAAAGGCTTGGTATTTACTTGGGCTGTTGGGTCAAGCCACATCTGAAGCTAGGCTTTTCAGTAATTCCTTTACTGTTTAGTTATTTGCAAGTGAAATACCTAATGGATACACAGGCAAAGGACCTGAAAAAAGGGGGGCAGGGGATGAAAAGAGTTTTGATTTGTTATGGCGGTGAGATAGAGTAATTTTTTCTTTCTCTGATTTCTATTAATGTTTATATGATTCATAGTTGGTGAGGATTTCTGGATGTTGAAAATATCTCAAAAGACTGAAGACCTCAATAGGCATAGTATTACAGATGATGTGTTTTTATAGTATAGCATCCACTGTAAATACTATGACGGTTCTCCAATTCTCTTCTGTATTAAGCATGAACTAGTAGATGGCTCAGTGGTAGACCATGTGCTCTCAGAATAGAAGTAAGGCCAGTTCACAATTCCTATATATTCCCATATAAATATACAGCTACTAGTGGTCTAGTATGCAGCACTTTTCAAATCTTACTAGAAAAGATAAGAATTAAATCTGGGATGATCAGTTTTACCTAGTGTCAGTACACTGGAAGAACAGAAGGAGACTGCACAACAACCAGTTCAGAAGTAATCCTACTTCTTTCTTCATTTTCCTCTCAGATCCCTGTGCCACTGCCACCTCTCCTGACACCAACCCCAGCTCTCAGCAGGTTAGGGCTGAGCCTCCCTCTCCAGTGTCCTTGTTCGTAAAGTAGAATGCAAGGTGATCCCTGATCTCCATCTGTTGTCAGAGAGCTGCCTTTCCAAGATCCTTTTGGTGTCTGACTACATAGGAGAAGAGGGAGAATACAAGAAAGAAGAAACACTCCAGGGACACAAAGAGGACTGAAAGGTGTCAAGAGCCTCTTTAAGTAGAAATGTTTAAAGTGAAGGAGACTAGGAAATGGCAAGAATACTTGAAGTCTTCCCAAAGACTAAACAGTTTATAAAGGTACCACAAACATCCTTGAAATGTTATTGCATTTTGTTAACACTGTCCCAAAAGTGCAGTATAGCAGTAGGTAAATTCAACCAACAGAAGAAAACTTAGGAGTGAAGAAAAGACAAGACCTTGTACTTTCACTCACTCACTTTGTGTGTGGACATTAGCATGCCTTTTGGAGAGCTAGGAGCAGAGGGCTGTGTGTCCATCTCCTTTATGGCCGTCACACTGAGCATTGTGAGGTTACATATTTGAGTTTGACCCTATCAATTTGATTCCACCAACAAAGCCTTTATCATTTCTCAATGAATCAATATTTCTATTAATATTTGTGTTTAAAACTGTTAAATAATTAGGCCCTATACAAAAACCACACAGCAAAACCCTGCACTCTATTTGAACTAAAACTCACTAAAATAGTTAATAGTTTTTGTCATAGAATTTGGAGAACTGTGAAAATGTGAGGTTTCTTCTGGTTGTTTATAAAATTCAATGTTTTAAAATTTAAAAAATAATTGATTTAGAGAGAGAGTGAGGAAGGGAGAGGGACAGAGAGAAACACCAATGTGAGAGTGAAACATTAATCAGCTGCCTCCTACAGACTCCCTACCAGGGATCGTGCCTGCAACCTGGGCATAAGCCGTGGAAACCTTTCAGTGCACAGGTTGACCAACTGAGCTATACCAGCCAGAGCTGAAGTTTTATTTATTACTATTCGATAGTGGCCTGGTGCACGTAATTAGTGCACAGGGGAGGAGGGGATGTCCCTCAGCCCAGCCTGCACTCTCTGAAATTTGGGACCCCTTGGGGGATGTCCAACTGCTGGTTTAGGCCTGATCCTGGGATAAGGCCTAAACCGGCAGTTGGACTCCCCTCTCGCAATCTGGGACTGCTGGCTCTTAACTGCTCACCTGCCTACCTGCCTGATCGCTCTTAACCACTCTGCCTGCTGGCCTGCTTGTCCCCAACTGCCCCTTCCCCCCCGCTGGCCTTCTCGCCCCCAACTGCCCTCCCCCCCGCTGCCAGCTTGCTCACCCCCAATGCCCTCCCCAATAGCCTGATCATCTTCAACTTCTCTCCCCTCCTGGCCTGATCGCCCCTAACTGTCTCTGCCTTGGCCCCATCACCATGGCTTTGTTTGGAAGGATGTCCAGAAGGTCTCCCAGAAGGTGTCCCAGTCTCATTAGTATAGGTTATTTTTTTCACCTTTAGCTGTGTATTTTCCCCCTTAATTGATTAAGGTATTGCATATGTATCTTTATGCTCCCATTGCCTCCCTGAAGTTTTATGTTTTTAACAGCATAATCATATCATATACAATAGATTATGCCTCCACTCCATCCCTTCAACATCCGGATTTCCCCCCTCAAAACTGCACATAACAGCACTTTAGATTTTACTTGGGTATTTTACGAGCTTTTTCTTGAGTGCTCATTTTGTCCATTTCTTGACTTCTGAGTATTCAGTCTGCTGAGGGATATGGTATATGTCCATACAAACTGACAGAGATAAGAACCCTATGCTGTCTTAGCCCAGGAGAGGGAAGGCTTTCTAGGCCAGGAGAGAATAAATGGGAATTACTCACACAAGAAAGGGAAGAAGGGCTTTTTGAGTCAGAGGAAGCAGCATGTACAAGACTTGAAAATAAAGTTCATAGAACTCCTGGGGACCTATTGCTAATTTAGCAAAGCCAGATCATAGCTGGGGGAGTGGGGACAGGGTGAGTCAAGAGGTAGTGGCAAGAATAGAATTTTTCTTACATTTTTTAAACTGTACAAAATTATTTAATTGGTCATTAAAACTATATATATATATATATATATATATATATATATATATATATATATTGTTTTAAAAAACAATGGAATGGAATAAAAAATACCAGAATGCTTTATATGCAGTAAGGGTAAGTATTGGTATGTAAATGTATTACTTTACAGTTATAATAGAGGCTCGGTGCATGAAACTCATGCACGGGGATGTGTGTCCCTCAGCCTAGCCTGCACCCTATTCAATCTGGAACCCCTCAAGAGATGTCCGACTGCCCTTTTAGGTGGGATCAGACCTAAATGGGCAGTAGGACATCTCTCTCACAATCCAGGATTGCTGGCTCCCAACTGCTCCCTGCCTGCCTGATTGCCCCTAACCACTTCTGCCTCCTAGCCTGATCACCCCTTAACCACTCCCCTGCCAGCCTGACTGATTCCTAACTGCTCCCCTGCCAGGCTGTTTGTCCCTAACTGCCCACCCCTGCAGGCCTGGATCCCCCCACAACTGCTGGTCTGATCGCCCACAACTGCCCTCCCTTGCAGACCTGGTTCCTCCCAACTGCCCTCCCCTGCTGGCCATCTTGTTTCCACATAGGGGCAGCCATATTTAACCACATGGGGGCAGAGATTTTGTGTGTTGGAGAGATGGTCAAATTGCATAATACTCTCTTTTTAGATAGGATAGAGACCTGGTGCACGGGTGGGGGCCAGCTGGTTTGCACTGAAGGGTGTCCCGGATCAGGGTGGGGATTCCCTTTGGGATGAGGAGGCCTGGCGGAGGGTCCTGTGGTGGTTTGTAGGCTGGCCACCCCCCCCCCCCAGTGACCCAAGATAAAATTATAGAAGATAAATAAATCCCTGGTATCTGGGATTTATTTATCTTCTATAATTGAAACTTTGTAGCCTTAAGTGGAGGCCTAGGCCAGCCAGGGTGTGCAGAAAGCTTGGCTTTCTCCATTGCTGGGGAAACCCAAGCCTCCTGCTCATTCTGTGGCCACAGCCATCTTGGTTGGGTTAATTTGCATATTTGCTCCTGATTGCCTGGTGGGTGTGGCTTGCAGGTATAGCTGAGTGATGGTTAATTTGCATATTGATCTTTTATTATATAGGATATGTATGTGTATATATGTATACTAGGTCATGATATAAAATGTATTTCTTACTATGGGACATGGTCCAAAAAGTTTGAAAGTCACTGTTTATGGTATAGAACATTTTATTTACAGTCTACAAGGTGAATAGCCTTTAAGTATTCCAGTTTTATTAAATGCCCTCTCCCCAATTTTTGCCACTTACTCATTACTTGGATATTTATCCAGTGCATATTTTATGCCCAGTGCTAAGAAAATCCTTGAAAGGAATGCACAGTCTATGGGAGGCAGACAAGTAAAGAGATAATAACTCCTGTTTATAACAGTCCTTAAAGTATATTTGTGAACCACCTACTTTTGAATTCCTAGGGGGAAATGCTTATTAAAACACAGGTAAGAGTTGCTCTTCCTTAGGCGGAGGCCGTGTCAGGACAAGAGGATCCTGTGCAGCAGGAAATTCACCAGCTCTGGGCGTACGGAACCGGGAGTTCACTGAAGTCATCACCAGCAGCATCAAGAAAATTTCAGACTTTCCCGACATGTTCGATATATCTTGTCATTCAAGACTCACAGCACTAAATGAGAAATTGACAGCCCTTGAACAGAATAGAGGACACTGAAGCACAGGTAACAAAAGGTGAGACTCTCACCTAGAACTGTGCCAGCTGCTGCTGGGATGTTGCTTTTCCCACATAGAACTCAGGTCTATGTGGGAAACGGTCCCAGTAGCCTTCACTCTTTTGTGTGTGTTTTTTTTGTGTTTTTTTAATATATATATATTTTATTGGTTTTGTACAGAGAAGAAGGGAGAGAGATAGAGAGTTAGAAACATCAATGAGAGTCATCGATCAGCTGCCTCCTGCACACCCCCCACTGGGGATATGCCCGCAACCAAGGTACATGCCCTTGACTAGAATTGAACCTGGGTCCCTTTAGTCCCCAAGCCGACGCTCTATCCATTGAGCCAAACCGGTTTCGGCTTGTGTTTTGTTTTGTTTTGTTTTTGTTAATCCCCACCAGAGGATATTTTCCCATTAATTTTTAGGGATAGTGAAAGAGAGAGGGAAAACAGCCGAAACCGGTTTGGCTCAGTGGATGGAGCATCGGCCTGCAGACTGAAAGGTCCCAGGTTCGATTCCGGTCAAGGGCATGTACTTTGGTTACAGACACATCCCCGGTGGGGGGTGTGCAAGAGGCAGCTGATGGATGATTCTCTCTCATCCATGTTTCTAACTCTCTATCCCTCTCTCTTCCTCTCTGCAAAAAATCAATAAAATATATTAAAAAAAAAAAAAAAAGAGAGAGAGGGAAAACAGAGAGAAACGTCAATGTGAGAGAAACACATCTATTGGTTGCCTCCTGCAAGAGCCCTGACCAGGGCCCATACTGGGGAGGAGGCTGCAACCAAGGTATGTGTCTTTGACCCCGAAACTAAGCTTGGGACCCGTTGAACCAAAGGCCCAAGCTCTAACCACTAGGGTGCCTTCAACACTTTAAAGAGCAACAGGGCTTATTCTTGTTTTTCTTTCTTAAAAAATGTGGCCTTAGGGCTCTGCCATGTTCATCTGGCAGTGTGATAGGGTATGTGGGGAGAAGTCCAGGGCAACTCTTGAAAATATTAGGCATTTTACCTTTTCTGTAACATTTTGTAGAACTACTTGTCAATGTATTTGAGGAGCTCAGAACCAAAAGCCTGGGACTCTGTTAAGGTCCTCCCCACCTCTCTCTTTCCTTCTCTCTCTCAGGCTTTCCTTCCAGCTCTCATGGCCTCTGTATTGATCCTATAAATAGACTTTGTCTCCTCCCTACCTTTGTGGGGAGGTGGCAGGCAGTCCTGGCTGAGACACTCATGCTCTGGCAAGTGCCCGAGAATGTTGTTGCTAATCCACCAGTTTTTTGTCCTTCTGGTATCGAACCCGGGACCTTTTTGGCTTGAAGGGACATTTTCAGATTTTTCTTTCTGTCACTTGGGGTGTTTACCTCAGATTTTCCCCTAATAAACTCCTAAACTTTATCTGACTGCTGTGATGGTGGTGTGAGAAGAGCTAGAGATGGGACTCCTGTATTCCACAGCAATCTGCTGTGTGGAATTATTATTCTCACAAAACTTTCAGGTGTAGCTGCTTGAGCAAAACCTAGGTGGCTTACCAGCCCAAGCCCTCGTATTTGGACTTTGAGCTGACTAATTTATCCTGGGAATCATTTGGTCACCCAGCAGGCATTTGCCAAGTGCTTACTTTGTAGATACGTAATGTTCCAATAAAAAAAATATAGCGTTGAAAAACCCCCCAGAACAACACAGGTAATGAAGGGGTTTTGCACTAGACCTAGTGAATCAGAATCTCTGGGTGGGGCCCCAGGATCCGCATGTTTAATTAAAGGTCCTCAAAAAAGTCTTACATTCAGTTTGAAAGAGATTCATTTATTTTTTTTAAATTATTTTTAAAAATTAGGTTTATTGGGGTAACATTGGTTAATAACATCTTATAAATGTTAAGATTCATTTCTTGCGTGCACGCTGGAATCCAACACTGTGTCCAACACTGTGCTCAGCCACAGGGTCTGTTTGCAGTTTCTTCAAGGATCCAACACTCTTGCTACTTAGAGCCCTCCCACATACTATTCCTTGGTCTGAAGTATTCTCACGCTTCCCTGGCCAATTTTAATCCATTCAACAGACCTTAATTCAAGTGTCATTTCTTTAGGAAGTGTTCCCTAATCTCCGGGGCTTCACTAGGAGCTTTTGTTATATGCCCCCTGTGGCAGATATGCAATGGCTGCTCCTTCACAAAAAGTACCGTTCAAGGAATAAGGTCAACTGTTCAAGGAACAAGGCTCCAGCTGTTAACTCCATCATTTCCACCTCAGCTTAGTCATGGCCCCTGTTGACCGGCAAAGGTGTTTTTCACTTTCTCTCGGAAATGGTTTGTAGCTTTAAGTGTTCAGGTATTGCACATACTTTTAAAATTTATACATAAACTAGTGGCCCAGTGCATGAAATTCGTGCACATTGAAGGAAATTAATTAGAGGAAATATTTTAATATTGCTATTTGCCCTTTCTCTATAATAGAAGTGTCAGAGATGAAAGAAAATTAGTGAAATGTATATTAAAATGTCTCTTCTGTCAGAGTCTGGGGAGCGCTGTGGGACCTAGAGTCAAGTCCCCGCCCACCACATTGTGCTTTGAAAACACAGGAGACACAGACCTGGCTGGCCCCACCCCTGTCAAGGCCCTCCAGGCAGGGGGCGCAGCCTCAGGTCCCCCCGCCTGGTGCCAGATAGGGGGTGCAGTCTCAGGTGCCGGTGAAGCCCCACTGGATTGGGGGTACAGCCTTAGGTCCCCTGGCCCAGCACCAGGGTAGGGGGTGTAGCCTGAGGTCGCTTGCCCTGGCCAGGCGCCATGCAGCCCCAGGTCCCTGCTGTTCGGTTGTGACGTTATGGCATCTTGGCTAATTTGCATATTCCTCTGTTATATATTGTAGATAGATATTTCATGAGTTTTTTATGCTACTTAATATTGAATTATTTTAATATCATTTTCTAATTATTTACTTTCATCTCATGTACAGAGTTGATCTGATATTCTGAAGAACTGTGGGATTTATATTATGGGTTTGTTTTAGGCAGTGAGATATGGCATGTTTCAGGTTTGTTCCCATGGCTGTCCCAGTTTTAGGAAGTGGTTGGCTGTCTCCTGCATGCCTCCTGGTGGGAATCGAGCTGGAAACCTGGGCATATGCCCTTGACCAAAATCGAACCCGGGATCCTTTAGTCTGCAGGCCGACGCTCTATCCACAGAGCCAAACCAGATAGGGCAGTAAGGTGTTCTTTCGTCAGATTGCCTGAAATGGTGCTGACATGATGATTTTGGGTAAATAAAATTCTTTATATTGATAGAGGCTCTGTAAAAAACTATGTCCAGTACCCTGAAGTTTTTAGAGGCAGCCCTGAAGAGGGGCATGGTGTCCCCCTTAAAAGAGGAGAAAAACAGACTATCAGGGGAGCTTTCTCCTCTGGTCTATACTATCACTCATTCCGGCAAGATGCACTACTTTGTTATCTCTCTGAGACCTGAGAGAAGGGTAGGTCACTATTGTCCCCCACCACTACCACCAGCAAAGCCTCTGGAATGGATCATTGTGTAAAATAATTTATTTCATCCCTGGTCAAGAATTTACCCTTTATTTCTTTTTTTTTTTTTCTTTCTTTCTTTCTTTTTTTTTTTTCAGTAAAAATAGTATTTTATTCCACCCCCTCCCGCCCACCCTCTCCCCACAACCCCCAGTACACTTTTCCCCTCTCATTCCCACGACAACGTTACAATCAGAAAAAAATAAGTTTCAGGGGGGTAGAATATGGGGGATACGGGTAAAAACAGTCAAATCACAATAGGAATTTTTCAAAATAGGTTATCCACTTAGTCATCTTCTCTCTCATCTTCAGGTTCTCGTTTTCGCTTCTGACCCTGACCATTTTCTTCTTCACCACCAGCCTCTTCCTCATCTTCCTCGTCGTCCACTTCCCAGTCGTTATAATCTTCCTCCTCCTCTTCCTCTCCATTCACATCCTCCTCTTCACCTTCTTCCTCCTCCTCTTCATCCTCTTCATCTTCCTCTAGATGAGCATCCTCCTCCTCCTCCTCCTCCTCCTCCTCCTCCTCCTCCTCCTCCTCCTCCTTCTCCTTCTCCTCCTCATCGTCCAGGCCCTCTACGTAGTCCTCGCATCAGAATCGGGGGCTTCCTTGTCGTCCCGGGTCGTAGCTATCGAGATATGTAGGTTGCGGGAGGAGCTTGAACACGTTTTCTCGGTAGTCGTTCAGGTCGGTTATCTCACAATTGAAAAGGTCTAAGCTCTTGAGGTTTTCTAACTTTTTCAGTGGCTCTATTGTGCTGAGGTCTCTAATTTTGTTGCCACTTAAGTTTAGATGCTTGAGGATCAGACACTCTTCTGCCAATACTCCAGGCCCCCTGAGATTCTGTTATCGCTTAGTTCAAGCTTTTTAAGTTTGTTTAACTTGGGTAAGTTTGCGACTGAGGTGAGGCCTACGTTGATTGTACTTAAGAACTCCAGTTCTTCAAACTCATCTGTGAGGCCTTCGATTTTGCCTTCATAAGACTGACAGTTGTCCAGCACAAGCTCTTTCACATCAGAGGGCGTCCTGTTCTGCAGCTCTAAATGAATCCGTTTGTCCATCTCCATCTCTCGTGCTCTCTCTCTCTCTTACCCTTTATTTCTACTTCAGTACACATGATAGTATGCAAAAGGCATTTCAAGGAAACTGAGTCCTTACCCCTACAGCATGCCTATTGCACAAAAACGAGTTATTTATATATCTGAAGTGTGGCTGGGCCCAGCTGAATCTTATTCTTACTTCCCATCTCACTGAACTTTGGAGACTTTTGAAGTCTGCGAAGTTGAGATAGGAACCATTATGAAAAGTTAATGTGAATGTTCTGTTTACTCGTTGCTTTTATATAATTTATTCATGCTGTTTTAGGCTAGCAAAACTATTCCAATGTTATTTAAGTATTTCTAATTAACCAAAGGGAGCATCACTGATGAGTGGCAAGGCCTCTCAAATGGTGGTGGTCTTTATGCTGAAATCAGCACCACTCTGTCAGCAAAGGAACGATTTAGCCTATTCTTCTGCACTGATGAGTAGCTTCTGGATTCTTACCTGCTTTTGTTCCTGGGAGGAATGAGACGGTAATTTTCTTGTTCTGGGTCTGAATAAGTCTTCAGCCTATACTTTATTTTATTTTTTTAGAGAGAGTAGAAGACAGAGGGAAAGACAAAGAGAAATATTGAAGAGAAAGAAACACAATTGGTTGCCTCCTGCATGAGCCCAGATATCAATATCAGTGTTAGTTTCAAGCTTACAGCATAGTGGTTAGATATTATATAACTTATGAAGTGACTCCACCCCCATAAGTCTAGTATCCACCTGACACCATACATAGTAATTATAATCCTATTGACTATATTCCCTACTTCAAACTATATATATATATATATATATATATATATATATATATATATATATTTCAAACTATATTTTAAAATGTTGATTCTCATAGAACTAGTGGCCTAAAAAGTGAGTGTATTTGATATATCTACAAAGTAATTATTGTAGCTGGCTAGATATTTTCTGGAAAGGAATCCTGATGTACTCATGGTCAGTATTCCACAATCCATATGGGTAATAAGTTGAAAGGACCACTGAGTGGGTAAAAATGAGAGAGTTACAGTTTAAATTTAAGAAGGATAACTAGTTCATAATTTAATTATATGTAGATTTGGGAGGCTGAATAGCATGGTTTAAGGGTCCAGAAGATACATCCTCTAAGAATGTAACACAAGCCAAAAAAAAAAAGTCTGAACATAATGCAATTCACAGATTCAAAATGCACTTTTTGTTGTAAAAGTTTTTTTTTTATATATATATTCTCTGGTGAATGTTACTGGTCCATTTTTCCTTCTTCACTTTAGCCCCAAAAGAATAAGAAGTTCACTGTGAATACATGATCATTCCTAGAAATTTCACATGATTTATGTGAATTGGTTATGTTTCTAATGCTGATTTTCCCATAGTACTATTTCTTCACTTCCATTTGGACCTAAAGCACCTGCTGCTTATCACTAAGAATAATTATCCGTGAATCTTAATAGTCGTCTTTTCTTTAAACCCTTTCTCCCAAAATTTAGCCATTAATTCAAAATCAGAGTGTTCTTCCTAAATGGGGATAAATTAACACCGAATAGGTTCCCTCTTCCCAAACCAAGTCCATGTCCCCTTATATTTTCAGGTCATAATGGGAGCAGCATCTTTCTTCCTTGGGATGTTATCTCCCTCCTATGAGATATAATACATATCTCAGCCTGAGCCCTAAAAAAGTCATATTGTCTTGGGAGTGTGTGACCTACCACTGTGGGCAACTGCTGAGAGTGAGTACCACACGTTAGTGACAGTGAGAGACTGCTTTATGCTGCTGATGGTGGCAGTCCAGAGGAAGGACCAGAGAGGAGATCTTTCTGAGCAGAGATAAACCTCTCTTTTCCTCTGATAGAGGAGTGGTCAAAGCCTAAGGCCATGAACTTTTTATTTTAATTTTAAATTTATTTCTTTTTTTTAACCACTTTATTGAGTTCAATAAGTGGTTGACATGCAAAAAAGCAGTACACATTTAATGTGTACAATTTGATGAGTTTAGAGAGTAGTATGCATCCACAAAACCATCACCACAATTGGTGCCACAAACATTTCCATCGCCTCCACCAGGCAGGACTCTGTGGAAACTAGCCTTGTTTTGCTTGAAAACCTTGCAGTATTCTGGCTGATGACATACTTTGCAAGGAGATCCTTAAGAACCACCACAATCATTATTGGTTGCCACTAGAACCATAGTAGGGTTAAGCAGGGTCAAATCTCTGTTTGCTCTAGGGAGTTGGGTATACAATATGACCCAGAAAGGAATAGCTAATGCATTCAATGAATTATTATAAGGTTTAGCTAATATCAGCAGAAATGTGTGTCAGAATAGATCCTAAGGTGAAATAGAGCTAGAACAGGAAGAATTCATTGATATGAACTTGCTTCCTAGAGATTCCAGATTTACTGTGTTAATTTGTGCAGATGGAAGAGACTCTAACAGCTTAATGGGTTGGCTGACTAAAATTTTCACTTATTGGTGGCCTGTGCTTAATGAGGATAAGATACCATTGCTTCACTGGCATCAAGTAAAGAAGAGGAGCCAAAGACCTAAGGAGATAGGAAGGTTGGAGTGGGTTTATCATGTGCAGACTGCACACCCACGAGAATTCCTGAGGAGGCCTGGAAGGCACACCTGTCACTCACTAAGGCATTGAGAAATGGTGAGAAAGGGATACTGAGGCATTGAACAATACATTACAGAGGTCTGTGGTTGCTTTCCTTTGTGGGAAATGTATGACCAAGCAAGATGCTGCCATTGAGACAAACTCCCTGATTTTACTAGCAATAACGGGATCCCAAGTAGCAGAGGTCAAGTGGCAGCACTTAACCATGAGAGACAAGGTGTGTGTGTTTACTGTAAAGGGCAGCAGGGTTTTATCAGTAGTAAGAGTGCTTTGACCCATAGGGGCCTTTGGTTGTGACTCATTGATCATGATATCCCTTGCAGTGAAATGGATGAACAGCCTGGTCTGTGTCTGGTGGACAAAAACCTGATTTGAGTTACTACAATAAAGAGTCCATGCTGCTGGCTCACTTTCCAGACTCGAGCCTGTTCGCAGATGCGGAGTCCTTGATTGAATGGGAGGCTTCTTTCCCTTGAGGAATGATCCTGCAGCATCGCCACATGAGCACATCATCAATCTTCCCCCAGGCCTTGTTCAAAGGTACCTTCACCCATTTGTTAAAGTGGCTGTGCGCCGGAAAACAATGAATTACCCATACTTTTCAGGTATTAATACACACTGCCTCTGAATTGAGACTAATTACTGGGGATCCAAAATGATGTTGTGTCTCACAGTGTGACTATTGTTGGTAGGTGATACGTGGAGTCTTAGCCTAAGTTAAGGTGACCAAGTTGGTCCACAGACACATTCTATGCTTGTTTCCCTAGTTTCTGAATATAGACAATCTTGTTTATGAGAGGCATTGTGGTAAAAAGACTAACATCAAAATAGTAATACTGCATCCATGTAGGAACTGCAGATATTAGTGCCACCACCTGAACCCTGCTGGCATACTGGCTCCTATCACATCCATATTTAACAGACCTGACTGGCCTCTCAAAAGTTGGATGGGCCTTGGAAAATGACCATGAACCGATGAGACTCTGTCTTACAGCATGCAGTATATGCTTTGAGTCAGAGACCACTATATGGTGCTGTCTCCTCCATAACCAGAATCTGAAAATCAAGGGGTGGAAGTGGGAGTGGCTTCTCTCACAATTAATACCTAATAACTCACTCACGGGATTTTTGCTTCCTCTTTCAGCCACTTTGAGGTCTGCAGATTTGGTGATCTTTGTTTCTAACAGGGAATACAACAATGGTTCCCTTGTATTAGAAGATGAAACTCTGTTTGGCTAAATGGGTTTCTTAAGTCACTGAACCATCAGGCAGATAAAAGAATTATTCTTCTGGATGATTATTCACTGATTACCATGGGCACATAGAGTTGTTGCTTTTACACAATAGAGCAAACAGAATGATTCTGGGACCAGGGGATTCCCTGTTCTACTCTTAATACTTCCACAGCCAAAGTAAAGGTCCATGGAAAAAAAAAGGAAGGACTATCAAGGACCCTTCCAGAATAAAGTTCAGGTCATCCTATTACATAAAAGACCAAAATGGGATATCCCACTGAGTTATCATTTTATTAATTCATTAATTTTTTTAAAATATATTTTATTGTTGTTGTTTTTTACAGAGAGTTAGAAACATCGACTCAGCTGCCTCTTGCACACTCCCTATTGGGGATGTGCCCACAACTAAGGTACAGACCAGAATTGAACCTGTGACCTTTGATCCGCAGGCAGACTCTATCCACTGAGCCAAACTGGTTTTGGCTAATTCATTTATTAATGACATCCTGTTCTTGTTTTTTGGATGTGTCACTTTCTCTTCTTTCTAAGAGATTTCTTCTACGTGCAGAGGTTTGTTTTCTCAGAACATTTTTTTTCTTCCTGTTTGCTGTTTGGTTGTTTTTATCTACGTCTTTCACATCAGAGGCTTTCTTCAGAGATATGGTAATTCTTGGTTGCCTGCTCATGATCACAACTTGAAATGCTGATTAGAAGCTTGAACATGAGATGGCTGGCATGGCTGAGTGGTTGAGCCTTGACCCATGTACCAGGAGGTTATGGTTCGATTCCTAGTCAGGGCACATGCCCAGGTTGCTGGCTTTGTCCCCAGCAGAGGGCGCATGGGAGCAGCCAATTGATGTTGACCTTGATATTTCCATCTCCCTCTCCCTTTCTCTCTCTCTAAAATCAATAGAAAAAAACTTTTTCTTCTAAAAAATCTTGAACATGAATGGGGCTTATTGATTTTGAGTCTCCCTCTGGACAGACCTGGACAAGTTTTTGTTGTTTTTTCTGCACAAGTTTTTTTGTTGGGAAAACCCTGATGTTAATGTATATTTCTGTCGATTAATCTTAAAACACTACCTATAATCATGTTACTCTTCTGCTCAAAACACATTTTCACTCCCCTCTGCCAACCTAATAGAATTCAGGTTCCTTAAG